TTTTTTTTCATATTTTTATTAGGTGCGCCTCATTAAGATGTACACACGCTCCAAATTTCATATCATTCCGATCAGTAAAAAAAATGAAAATTGGAATACTATCGAACAATTATGACCGTGCGATGAAGTTTGGATGGTGATGAGAGTAGACGAAATCACTGTTCATTTTTGCCTGTAGGTGTTTATGGAAGATACTACAAAATGCTTATAGGCAAAAATAAATAGTGATTTTTTCTACCCTCATCACCATCCAAACTTTATCATATGATCACAGTTGTTCGGTAGTGTTTCATTTTTCATTTTTTTTTACTAATCCAAATGGTCTGAAATTTGTATGAAGATACTACAAAACGACTATAGGCGAAAAATGAATAGTAATTTTGCCTACCCTTATCACCATCCAAACTTCATCACATGGTCACAGTTGTCTGATAGTGTTTCATTTTTTTTTTTTTTTTCTCTGATAGAAATGGAATGAAATTTATAGCTTGTGTACATCTTAGTGAAGCGCACCTAATAAAAAGGGAAAGGTTTATATGTTTCCCCTATAACATAGAAGTCCTATGTTCCCTCTACCATCCAACCGTCCATTTTTTATCAAGAGAGCCACTCACCGTTTGATCTTAGATCCGACGTTTCAAAGTATTTTATTTTTAGTTTTTTTAATACAATTTTTTTGACTATGAAATTTGGTATATGTCATCTTCTCATTAGGGCGCACCTATAAAAAAAATATTAACAATAATTTTTATCTAAAAAATAATGACCAAAATACCCCTTGAAATTTTTAGGGGTATTTTTGTCATTTTATTTTATTGAAAATATTTTTTTATATATTTTTTTTGTTAGTGCGAGTTTAATATAGGAATGTACGTCCAAAATTTGGTGTCAAAACAGTTTATAGAAAAAAAAAGTAAAAATAAAACAGTATGTAACATTGTGATTGTGACAATCTTAACCTTCAATTAAAAAATGGAGGGTTGGATAAAAGGGAACATAGAACTTCTATGTTGTAGGGGGGAACATAGAAAGCTTTCTCACTTAATAAAAATATGAAAAAAATAATTCGCAAAATAGAAATTGATAAAAATACCCCCGTAAATTTTTAGAGATATTTTGATCAATTTATATTTTACAAA